TTTTAGCAAATGGCTGCAATATAACAAAGAGTGAAAAATTTAAGGGGGTCTGAATACTTTCCGTACCCACTGTAAGGGATGTGCAACAGCGATCGAGTACTCGAGTACTCGGCCGTGACAGCGATGATCGATCATGAAAACGATGATCGTGGAAGAAAAAAAAAATTTCTGATTGGTTAAAGCAGCACTTTGGTCGGCACCCTGAGCTCTGATTGTTTATCTTGCCACAGCATGCAGTCCAAAGTATAGATGTGAGAAGAGAGAGAAACATGGCTTCGAAGTCCCATAGTGATGTCTAGGTTAGCTGCATACATATCAAGTATGATGATATGATACTAAAAACGCATCTGTTCCACCTTTATTTGACCCTCTAAGTCTAGCACTTTCTATTCTATTTTAATTCTACTTTATCTGTAATTATCTTCCTTTTTTTTCTTTTGCACTTATATATTGTTGCTCTTTTGTTAGTTTTGACTGTTTTTATTGTCCTCATTTGTAAGTCGCTTTGGATAAAAGCGTCTGCTAAATGACTAAATGTAAATGTAATATTTGATTAATCTAATATAGGATGTGTTGGGATATTAGCATTTATTAACATGGTGAATGCGCTGCATAGTACCAGTTTAGTTTCATGCTCAAATGCAATGCCTGATATTGACTGAGTTATTTGAGACGGTCATATTGCTTTTAGATGTTTCTTTTTAAAAAATACTTATGTTATAATAATGCAGCAGTGCTTTTGTGGTCATATTTAATCAACAGTAAGCATACTTCAATTTCAGTTGTTTTTGTACTTCGTATGGCTTCGAAAACGCACAGGCGATTTCAAGAATCACTTGATAGTGTAGATGAAAATATAGCACAAATCTGCCATAAACATAGCATTATAATGAGAACTTTATAGAATATGAAATCTATAATAAAGTCCTTGCCCGTGTTTCAGCGCACTGTTATGAAAGCGCTCACTCTCTCTCTTGCTGCAGCGCGTAACTTAAAATTCACTGGCATTTCATAAACAGCATTATAATTAAAACACTCTCTCTCTCTCTCTCTCTCTCTCTCGCGTACCTGAAAGTTCACTGGCATTTGCATCTTTTTGTGCAGATGCAAGTTGTAATGTTACATCTATGTTATGTATCTAAGTTACCTGATTAATATCATAGGATGTGTCATAGAACAGGCTTCAGTTTATTGGCATAAAGTCACTCTTGAGCTTCTCCTCAGGCAGCTGTTCCTTTTTAGATGCTTCTTTTTTAATAACATTGCTGCATCATAATCATACTCTAACAGTGTTCTAATCATGTGTTCATGTTTTTATAGACAAGTTTTCATGTCATATTTTTATTTTCATTATCTCCATTACAGCCATGCCCCGCCCCCCCCCCCC